ATCTCCCAAGCTATGTGGATCCAAAAGGTTATAACCTAGTGTTGTTGAAGCGGAAGGTCTAATCTAGTGGACTGGCAAGAATATGGCACTAATTGCATCTCTACAAACATACATAATGCGCTAGTCAGTTTGGTCGGTATGCGCACCTATAGTGCAGGTACCATGTACGACTGAAATGTCTTTATCTGTCAAATTACATAGATCCGATTGGTTAGAACATGGTAGGGGGGTGGGGAACGGTATCATTTAACCTAATTGGGAATACATATGGTAGTATTTGTACGGAGAGAATAATGTGTCGGCTGGTAAGGTCAGTATGCACGCTTGCGTGTAGGTACAAGGCAGAACTGGAACTCTGAAATCTCCCAAATTATATGGATCGGAAAGGTTATAACCTAGTGTTGTTGAAGTAGAAGGTGTAAACAAGTGGACTTGCAAGAATATGGTAGTAACTGCATCTCTATAAACATGAGTAATGCGCTGGTCAGTTTGGTCGCTATGCGCATCTGTAGTGCAGGTACCATGTATGACTGGAATGTCTATATCTGCCAAACTACATAGATCAGCTAGCTCCTTTTCACTGCTGCCAACTCCCTCTCCCTCTCCTTTACTTGCCCTCTCATCTCCCTCATATCCACTACTCGTCCTTGCTCAGCCTCCTTCAATCCCTTCTTCTACTCTATCATCTGCCCCATAACAGCCTCCACTCTCTCAACCAGGGTCTGATCTACTGTTAATAGCCGCTCCTCCACCCCGCCCCATTCTCCCTCTTTCCATCACCCCGCCCCATTCTCCCGCTTTCCATCACCCTGCCCCATTCACCCTCTTTCCATCACCCCGCCCCATTCTCCCTCTTTCCATCATCCCGCCCCATTCTCCCGCTTTCCATCACCCCGCCCCATTCTCCCGCTTTCCATCACCCCGCCTCATTCTTCCGCTTTCCATCACCCCGCCCCATTCTCCCGCTTTCCAGCACCCCGCCCCTTTCTCCCGCTTTCCATCACCCCGCCCCATTCTCCCGCTTTCCAACACCCCGCCCCATTCTCCCACTTTCCATCACCCCGCCCCATTCTCCCGCTTTCCAGCACCCCGCCCCATTCTCCCACTTTCCATCACCCCGCCCCATTCTCCCGCTTTCCAGCACCCCACCCCATTCTCCCGCTTTCCATCACCTCGCCCCATTCTCCCGCTTTCCATCATCCCGCCCCATTCTCCCGCTTTCCATCATCCCGCCCCATTCTCCCGCTTTCCATCACCCGCCCCATTCTCCCGCTTTCCATCATCCCGCCCCATTCTCCCGCTTTCCATCACCCGCCCCATTCTCCCGCTTTCCATCACCCCGCCCCATTCTCCCGCTTCCCATCACCCCGTCCTGTCAGAATATATCTTATATATATGTCTGTATAAGTGCATGTAGTCCTAGCTGTAGAGTAGTTACCTAGTATTCTGTGTGGTGGTGCACCACTCCTTGCTGGTTCTCTTCTATTTGTACCTCTCTTTTCATAGTGCAACCCCTCCTTTTGCTTGGACTTCTACTTTGCCTAGGCTAAACCCTAGCTCCTACTCCTAACTATGCATCCTAAGCCTAAACCTAGTTTCCTAGGTGCTTAGTATCTTGACATGGTAATCAGAGCAGGAACCTTCCTGCGGCCTTCCTTAACGGGCCCACCAGTCAGCTTCCGCTGCCTGTCATCCTGTCGCGCGCCTCGGGTGCGCGGCGTATTTTCCTCGCCGTGTGCCCCGGGCGCGCGGCGATTTTCTGCCCCCCGTGTGCTCGGGGCGCACGGCGGTTTTCTGCCCGCCGTGCGCCTTGGGCGCGCGGCGTCTTCCTGCCCCGCGCGCGGCCTGCTCTCACGCCGCCTGCGCGCCTGCCCCACGTCCGCGCGCGTGCCTGTTCTGCCCGCCCGTACCCTGCCCTTCGCGGCGCCCCGCGAGGCGCCGCTCCTGCTCGTCGCGACGCCTCTGCGGGACCCGCGCGGCGTTGCCCTGCTCGACGCGACGCCCCTGCGGGACCCGCGCGGCGTCACCCTTGCTCGTCGCGGCGCCCCCTGGACGCCACCCCTGCTCGTCGCGGCGCCCCTGGGACGTCGCCCCTGCTTGTCGCGGCGCCCCCCCCCCCTGGCCGCCGCCTCTGCCTCACCTACGCCCGCGCCTACTTTGCAGCCGAGTGCGGGCCTGCCCTGCACCAGCGACGCCGCCCCTGGAGCAGCCGCCCCTGGACCCAGAGCGGCCGCCCCTGGCCCCTGGAGCAGCCGCCCCTGCAGCAGCCGCCCCTGGCCCCTGGAGCAGCCGCCTTTGGCCCCTGGAGCAGCCGCCCTTGCAGCAGCCGCCCCTGGCCCCTGGAGCAGCCGCCCTTGCAGCAGCCGCCCCTGGCCCCTGGAGCAGCCGCCCCTGGCCCCTGGAGCAGCCGCCCCTACAGCAGCCGCCCCTGGCCCCTGGAGCAGCCGCCCCTGCAGCAGCCGCCCCTGGCCCCTGGAGCAGCCGCCCCTGCAGCAGCCGCCCCTGGCCCCTGGAGCAGCCGCCACTGCAGCTGTCCGCGACGCCGCTCCTGGACCCTGTGCAGCCGCCCTGTCTCTGCCCGCGCCCTCGTGCGCTCTGTCTCACCCGCGCCCTCGTGTGCTCTGCTCTGCCCGCGCCCTCGTGCGCTCTGTCTCACCCGCGCCCTCGTGCGCTCTGCTCTGCCCGCGCCCTCGTGCGCTCTGCTGCTGCCCGTTGCCGCCCGTTGCTGCCCGTGCCTGTGCTGCCCGTTGCCGCTCGTTGCTGCCCGTGCCTGTGCTGCCCGTTGCCGCCCGTTGCTGCCCGTGCCTGTGCTGCCTGTTGCTGCCCGTGCCTGTGCTGCCCGTTGCTGCCCGTTGCTGCCCGTGCCTGTGCTGCCTGTTGCCGCCCGTTGCTGCCCGTTGCTACCCGTGCCTGTGCTGCCCGTTGCCGCCCGTTGCTGCCCGTGTCTGTGCTGCCCGTTGCTGCCCGTTGCTGCCCGTGCCTGTGCTGCCCGTTGCGGCCCGTTGCTGCCCGTGCCTGTGTTGCCCGTTGCCGCCCGTTGCTGCCCGTGCCTGTGCTGCCCGTGCTCTTCCCCCACCGGTCCCCTGGACAGGAGGGTGTGGGGGTGGCGGGTGTGGGGGTGATACGTGTGCGTCGTCCCTTCCTTCTCCTCCTCCGTCTCCCACTGCTGCAGCTGGCGCTGAGGGGGGTGGATGTGTGGGAGCCGAGGGGAGTGGCGCTAGGGGGGTGACGTGGTAGTGGATCTAGGGGTGCAGCACGGGGTGTGTGAGAAGGGGGTGTGGGACAGTTAGGGGAGGTTGAGCGGAGGTCGCCATCATGTTGTCAGCAGCGCCAGTAGTCCGGAGCCCTCGTGCTCTCGGTAGCCCAGCGAGCCTGCTTCGCCAGTCGCCTGTGGGTCCGTTACTCCTGCCGCTCGTCGTAGCCGTGGAGTCAGATACTCCCGTAGTCCGGTGCCCTCGTGCGCTCCGTACCCACTGTGCGCGCCGCTCCTGTTGCCCGAGCGACTGCGGCTTCACCCGTCGCCTTCTCTCTCCACTCTCCTCACTGTTCCTTCTCCTCCTCCTCACTACGCCTCTACTTTTGCTGCGCACTACAGGGTGTACCACTTCATGGGTATTCTGCTCAATGGCTATTCCTGCATGCACTTAGGGGGTTTGTCAGAATATATATTATATATATGTCTGTATAAGTGCATGTAGTCCTAGCTGTAGAGTAGTTACCTAGTATTCTGTGTGATGGTGCACCACTCCTTGCTGGTTCTCTTCTATTTGTACCTCTCTTTTCATAGTGCAACCCCTCTTTTTGCTTGGACTTCTACTTTGCCTAGGCTAAACTCTAGCTCCTACTCCTAACTATGCATCCTAAGCCTAAACCTAGTTTCCTAGGTGCTTAGTATCTTGACACGTTCCATTCTCCCTCTTTCCATCACCCCACCCCATTCTCCCTCTTTCCATCACCCTGCCCATTCTCCCGCTTTCCATCGCCCCGCCCCATTCTTCCTCTTTCTATCACCCCGCCCCATTCTCCCTCTTTCCATCACCCCGCCCCATTCTCCCGCTTTCCAGCACCCCGCCCCATTCTCCTGCTGCAAGGCGTGGTGAGGGTCCCTGCACCCCCCTTGCCTCACCCCACCATGTCCCCTCTCACGCATGGCGGAGGAGGGGCAAGGCAATGACGACCAGTGCAGAGAGGGCGACTGCAAGGAGTGGTGAGGTGAGTCTCACTCCCCCTGCCCACCCCCTGCCTCAACCCCCCTACACTCCATGCCTTGCCCCCCTGCCCCCCACTGGTCCCCACTCACCCACGTGCACTGCAGATAGGGGCAGACAGAGGCTGCTGGGGAAAACGGGGGGGTGAATGGGGAGGGGCATGGGAAGATGAATTGTGGAAGACAGGAGGTGAATGGCGTGGGGGGGGGGGGGGGCATATGAATGGCGGGGAGGGAGGAGGAGCAAATGTGAACGAAGGCGATCGCAGCAGTTTTGTGGCACTCGCAAAGCATTGGAAGGTGAGTGCTGCTAAAAACTGATTGATGGAAACAGAGAAATTAATAGGGGATTGTTTGGAATCTGAGAAACTGACCAGCAACATTGCCCCACACCACTGTGCTGAGTTGGAGAGCCCTATTGGGTGTTGCAATTATCTAGCTGTACAGTGCAAATTCAGTTAGCTAGGAGTGTATTGTCAGTTCATTGAGCCACAGCCTCATTATTCGTTTTTCTGCGCACTCTCTCTTACAACTCATACGTGCATGTTTATTGCATACGGTTACAATTTGCAGTAGCAAAAACAACTAGGGTTACACCACATCACTGCTCCACACTCCACCGCATCACTACATGCAGCTACAGCAGATTGATTGTTCTCAGGCACCTCGCTTCTCCTTGTTGACTGTCTCCACATCCCCAGGCGATGCCACCACCACCACCTGAAGCAGCTCTCACCACATCTCCCATCACCACGTGTGCACCATGCAGCACCACATCAAGTGCAGCCACAGGCTACAGCACGTTGATAGTGGAGAGGAACCCTGGCTTCTCCTTGTTGGCTGCCTCCACATCCCCAGGCGATGCCACCACCACCACCGTGCCCTTCTCCTTCACCGCTTGCAGGTAGTCTGCAAACTCGTTCAGCTCCTTGTTGCTGGTGGGGGCAAGGGCAGAGAGAATGGAGAGAGCTGGGTGTGAGTGATTGATAGTGAGTGAGCGTGAGAGGAATGTCACCACCACCACCACTGTCACCTTCTCTTTCACTGCTTGCAGGTAGTCTGCAAACTCGTTCAGCTCCTTGTTGCTGGTGGGGGCAGAGAGGGAGAGACCGGGGAGATGGGAGGGATGGGTGTGGTGGATAGTATTATTGTGAGGGTTTATGCCACCACCACCACCGTACCCTTCTCCTTCACTGCCTGCAGGTAGTCTGCAAGCTCGTTCAGCTCCTTGTTGCTGATGGGGGCAGAGAGGGAGAGACAGGGTTGGTGGATGGCAGTGAGACGACAGATACATTGCACATGGTAGCACCAGCAACACAGTGTCTTCAGAGTTGTTTCAAAAGATTGGGGAGAGACGAGGTTGATGTGTAGTAGTGAGATGACAAACACATTGCATATGGTAGCACCAGAAACACGGTATCTTCTGAGTAAATTGGTGAGAGACAAGGTTGATGTGTAGCAGTGAGATGACAAACACATTGCATATGGTAGCATCCAACACACAGACTGCACTTGATGGGAAAGGAACACGAGCGCCACGCGGATGAGACAGAGTCACAAGAACGGTGGCCAGGTGTGAGGGGTGGGTGGGGTGGAAGGAGGGGTGGGTGGGGTGGAAGGAGGGGTGGCTTACGTGGTGGTGAGAATCTCCTCGCGCCGCTTCTGCCTGTCCTCCTCACTCACTTCCAGCAGGTATCGCACCATGCTGCCACACACACACCACACACCAAAGGGGGCAAGTGAGGAGGGAGACAGCTTAGACGTTGACAACCGAAATTACGAGCAAGTGGCATGTGACATGTAGCTCATGGCATGTGACATGTAGCTCATGGCATGTGACATGTAGCTCATGGCATGTGACATGTAGCTCATGGCATGGAGCAAGCAGCTATAGATGTGACACAACACGTTCTGGTTCCTACCTTGAGTTGTCCTAGCTGTCTCAGAGGCAGTACCTTTAGAGTCTCAGCTGGAGTAGCCCTTGGAATCTGGCAGCTGGTATGAATCAACATCCCCGATGGTCCCGATGAAAGCCTTGGTGCGCGCATCCTTGTCAAACTGCAACTGCCACTAAGCAGCAACACCTCAGACCTAGCTGCTAATTTGGGTCTCACCTGGAGTCTGGCAGCTGGTATGAGTCGACGTCTCCAATGGTCCCAATGATAGCCTTGGTGCGCGCACCCTCATTCAACTGCAACTGCCTCAGAGGCAGCACACCACCTCAGACCTAGCTGCACAAAGGTTCTCACCTGGAGTAGCCCTTGGAGTCTGGCAGCTGGTACGAGTCCACATCCCCAATGGTCCCAATGATGGCCTTGGTGCGCGCATCCTCGTCCAGCTGAAGCTGCCTCAGGAACTCCACTGCTCCGTCGTAGTTGTCGAGAGTGGAGAGCAGGTTGGGGTCGCGGTATGACAGGAAGGTGAAGACACCTGGCGAAGAGAGGGGAGAGGAATGCAGTGAGTGAGTGCTAATGGCTTTGAGTGCAACTGCCCAAGGAACTCCACAGCTCCGTCGTAGTTGTCAAGGGTAAAGAGCAGGTTGGGATCGCGGTAAGACAGGAAGGTGAAGACACCTGGCAGGGGAGGGAGGGGGAGGGATAGAGAGAGCAGCGAATGGCTGAGTACATGACAGAGAAGAGATGAGTAGTCATGAGTACATGGCAGAGTGCGAGTCAAAGTCACAGAAGCCACCATAAGCACTGCCACTAACACGGACGGACGCAGGCCCACAGAGAGCTCATGCCAACTCCTGAGTCGACTGAGAACTTACCGGAATGAGAGTCAAAGTCACAGAAGCCACCATACGCGCCGCCACTGACACGGACGCGGTCCCACAGCCAGCTCATGCCGACCAGCTTGGATGCCACGTAGGCACTGCCACTCAGATTGTACCCCGCCGCGTCGTACAGGTTCACTGCCTTGCCCACGTAGTTAACCTGTGGTGAGGAGGGGTGGAGAGGAGTGGAGAGGGGTGGAGATGGAGGAATTGCAGCACGTAGGTACTACCACTCAAATCGTACCCCGTGGCATCGTACAGGTTGACTGCCTTGCCCACGTAGTTCACCTGAGGGTGGAGGGAGACGGGTGTGCGGAGGAGGTACAGCAGGGGGAGAAGGGACAGACAGGAGGATATGGGATTCATTGCCTTGCGGACACGTTTCACCAAAGTGTGTGGCATGGAGAGCGGATTGTGAAGGGGGAGGGGTTGAAAGATCACAGGCCGAACTGATCGACCGCCGACACCCACACCCGCCGCCCGCCCACCCGCCCGCCCGCCCGCCTGGCTGCATGCAGCCTCTTCCCCCTTTTTTCCCCAAATACACACCTGTGTTGGGACCAGGAAGGCTTCGTTCTTCACGGGCAGGGTTGACCAAGGAGAGCCTGCCACCTGTGCACGCTGAGCTGGCAGGGAAGCCAGCAGCTCCCTCACTGCCACATCAGCCTTGTCCAGCGTGGCAGCATCAGCTGTGAGGTTGACCACCGCCCCGTCAGCAGAGAGCACCGCCTGGCGGATTTGCTCCAATGAGGCGGCGACACCTGGCCAGTCCTCATCCACTCGCTTCTCCAGAGCTCGCAGGTACTGCAGATAGCTGGAAGAAGGAAGGAGGGCGAGAAGGGTAGGAAAGGCAGGAATTCCTGAAGACAGATTGCAGAAGCAAAGTATTGAGGCTAGTGAGAGTGAGAGTGAGAGTGAGAGCGTCAAAGCAGATAACAGGCAAAAGAATGTGGGATCGAGAACGGAAGTCAGAAGGCATGCAGAGAAAGGTGACGAGAAGGTGACATATCCTTGCAAGAAGGGGAAGACGCGAGTGACGCCCCCACCCCCATCCCATTACACATCCCACCCATTTCTCTTCCCCATTCTTCCTGCTCCCCTCAGCCAAACATTAGTCAACATCCCAAAGCGCAGGGCTTTAGATATGACAAGGCTGAAACTTGTATTATACTGTGAGATCATCACAGGGGAGAGCACTGATTACTGTTTACAGGAGGCTCCACGCTCCACTAGCAGAAAAACATAAATAGCCCCGCGCAATCCCCCACCCTTACATCCTATACCCCATGCGCTCACCTGTAGCCGCCCATCTGCTCACCTGTAGCCACCTATCTGCTCATTGGCCCATCCCGCCAGGCTGTCCATGGCGTCTAGTTGCTTCGAATAGGCACAGGGGGCATCCGTTCATCCGTCCGTCCCCCCATCCCCCCGCTCTTTCCCCCCCATCCCCCCGCTCTTTCCCCCCCATCCCCCCGCTCTTTCCCCCCATCCCCCCGCTCTTTCCCCCCATCCCCCCGCTCTTTCCCCCCATCCCCCCGCTCTTTCCCCCCATCCCCCCGCTCTTTCCCCCCATCCCCCCGCTCTTTCCCCCCATCCCCCCGCTCTTTCCCCCCATACCCCCACTCTTTCCCCTCATCCCCCCGCTCTTTCCCCCCATCCCCCCGCTCTTTCCCCCCATCCCCATCTCTTCCCCCCCTTTCCCCCATGCGCGTAACTGCAACCGCCCACCAACTCACCTGTAGCCGCCCATCTGCTCATTGGCCCATCCTGCCAGGCTGTCCATGGCGTCCAATCGCGAGGCAGCAATGCTGTGCCCACTTCCCAGGAAACGCGACTGATTGGGGGAGTTGGAGAGGAGGGAACAGGGGAGAAATGGGAGGGGAGGGGAGGGGAAGGGAGAGGAGGGGAGGGGCGTGGAGGGTAAGGGGTCTATTTCTGAAACGTGAGGGAGAAAGGAAGGGAGGAACTTGCTTGGATGGGGTGAAAACACTTTACTCATTTGGCACCAACACTTAGATTTGAAACTCCACCAGCCACACATCCATCCCCATCCTCTCACCTCCACCCCCATCCCCATGGTCTCACCTCCATGCCCTGCTTGCGCTGTGCCACAAACTGCTTGAAGCGCTGCTGGTCTGTCAGCTGCACGTCGCACAGCACCACTCGCACCTGCAGGGGAGAGACGGCGAGAGAGGGCAGGGGAGAATGGGAGGTGGGTAAGGGATGCATGAGGCATGGAGTCATACCACTGCTGGTCCTACAGCTGCACGTCGCACAGCACCACGGGTGAGGGGATGAGGAGGAACCCACGACCCCCTTCCCAGGAAGCAGCGCACTGTCCAGAATTAGATTCATCAAACTCACCAGGTGGAACACGGAGATGCACGGCAGCAGCAGATATGCACAACACCAAAGTTGGCGAACTCACCAGGTTGAGCAGGTCTGCTGCCTGGGCGGAGGTGGCCTTGCCCCTGGCCACAAGATAAGAGACGGGCTGCTTGGAGCCGCGCTTGGAGGAGGTGAGGGGGAACACGGAGATGCCACCCGTCTTGCGGCCGATGAGCTGGTTGAGGTCCACGAAGTCCATGTCCTTTGTGCCCATCTCCAGCAGGGATTGGCTGGCAGGAAAAGTGAGAAGGGAGGGAGGAAGGGAGGGAGGTGAGGAGAGGGATATGGATACTGGCCGTCTTGTTCAGATGGTTCAGATCCACAGAGTGCATGTCCTTGGTTCCCATCTCCAACAGTGTTTGGCTGGGGGGGAAAGGGGAGAATGGGAAGGAGAGAGGCGAGGAGGGTGCTAAAGCCTGTCTTGTACCAGACGGAGGTGAGAGGGACATGAGGGGCACGAGGTGGGCAGGCAGGTGCCTCATATCCAATGCCGAGTCCAGCTATAGCACGTCGTTGGTGCGCAGGTCGTGACGCAGGATGGAATGATAGATGGGGAGAAGGTGAGGCATGCTAGGACTCACCACAAGAGGGACACGGGTGGCACGAGATGAGCAGGCAGGTGCCTCATTTCCAACGCCAGATCCAAATAGAGCACATCATTGGTGAACAGGTCGTGGCGCAAGATAGTGTGGTGGGGGGTATGGGACGGAGGGCACGCTAGGGCTCACCAGAAGAGGGAAACCAGCAGCACAAGGTGAGCAGGCAGGTGCCTCATGTCAAGAGCGAGGTCCAAATAGAGCACGTCATTGGTGAACAGGTCATGGTCCAGGATAGTGGGGAAGGTGGGGTGGGGCATGCTAGGGAAACCAGAAGATGGGGTGGGGTGGGACTCACCAGAAGAGGGAAACCAGCGGCACGAGGTGAGCAGGCAGGTGCCTCATGTCGAGAGCGAGGTCCAAATAGAGCACGTCATTGGTGAACAGGTCGTGGCGCAGGATAGTCGCCCCTGACCCATCCCGATCCACCGCAATCGGCACCTGCACCGGCTGCTTTGGAATATCCTCCAGCTGCAGGCTCGGCACGCACCGAAGCGCCTCGGGAGGATCGGGAGTCTCCTGCCGTTCCTTGAGCTCCTTAGTCGCCTCTACCAGCTTCTCTAGGTCTGATTCCGCTAGCTTCTGCCTGAAAGACTCTAGCACCGCCCGCTCCGCTTCCTCGTCCGCGTCTGCCTTGGTTGGATCCGGCTGCATTTCCACAGTCACCCTGTGGAGGTTGTCTAGGAGGTAAGAGCGGATCAGCGGGCTGAACACGGCTTTAATTCCCCCCGGCTGGCGGATTTTCTCCTTGAATTCTGCCAGAGGCCCCTCGAATCGCAGCGGCGCGATGGGATCTCCACCGTAGATCCATTTCCCCATGGATCGCAGCATGAGGGAGAGGCCTCGGGGGAACGACCCCGTGTTGTTCTCTCTAAGAGCAAACTCGACAGTGTTCACAGCCGCTTCGACCGCCGTTTCGGTGAACCCGTCCCTCTCCAGCTCCTCTAAAACCTCCATTACAAGCTGCTCCACTTTAGGCACATCGACGGCCGCCACGCCCTTCAGCCCGATCGAAAATACTGGCTGGCGTAGCTCGTCCTGTAGCCCGCCGCCCACGATGGCCTCCCCGAGCCCGGATTCCAGGAGCTTTTTGCGGAGGGGGGCAGCGGGCGTGCCTAGGAGGAGATGGTCGAGGAAACCGAGAGTGAGCTCCTGAGGGAGAGACAGCGGTGACTCTGAGAGCACCCAGTTCACAGCTGTCATGTGCCTCCTGGGTGCTGCTGCTGAGGAGGAGGAGGAGGAGGAGGAGGAGGGGGAAGAGGATTCATCGCCGTCTGCTACTTCTTCTTCGGAGGACTCGGAGGGGGCGGCATCGGCGGAGGAGGGGTAGGTGTCGACGATGCGCCAGGGCTTGGAGAGGAGCGGCTGGGCAGACACCTGTGACTCCTTGGGGGCTGCTGGATTGGCGTCAAACTTGTCGAGATACTCTGGAGGGATGGGAGGGAGGGAGGTGAGGGAGGGTGAGAGGGAGGAGAGAGAGAGGGTGAGACGAAGGGGAGAGGGAGGAGGAGAGGGAGGGTGAGAGTGAGGGTGAGCGGGAGGGTGAGCGGGAGATTGGGAAGATGAGGGGGAGGATGAGGTGGATGGGAAGGTTTGGGGGAGGAGGAATTGGCATCGGATTTACACTGCACCTGCCCCCTGATAGCAGCCCTGGGTCCGCCCCATGTGCCGCCCCATGTGCCGCCCCATGTGCCGCCCCATGTGCCGCCCCATGTACCGCCCCATGTGCCGCCCCATGTGCCGCCCCATGTGCCGCCCCTCACAACACCCCTTCTACCATCCCTCCCTCACCAGCAATCATTGCGAGGCGCTTGTTGGGGTCATCATTCCCATAGAACCAGATGCGCGCATTGGAGGGGTGGTAGAACTGTGTGCTGTGACACTGCAAGAACACACTACCTCTATCACCTCCCCTCGCACCACCCCTTGCCCCCTTCACCAATATTTACACCACGCCCCCTCACCAGCAATCATGGCGAGGCGCTTGTTGGGATCATCGTCCCCATAGAACCAGATGCGCGCATTGGAGGGGTGGTAGAACTGCGCGTGGAAGTCCTGGAACTGCTGGAAGGACAGCTGCGGGATGACCTTGGGATCTCCGCCACTGTCCACCGCATACTCGTTATCGGGGAACAGGGCCTGGGAGGAAAGAGAGGGTGCGGGAGTAAGAGGGAATGCGAGGGAGTTAGAGATTGAGTGAGTGGGAGTGGGTGGGAGTGGGGAGGCGAGGGTGAATGCAGGTGGGAGCTTCTTAAAAGCTATTGTCCACTGCGTACTCGTAGTCAGCAAACAACGACTTGGGCAAGGGAAGGGAGAGTGCTGAACAGTCACCTGCACGCGCCCATCACCCTTTTTTCCCCAATCCCCCCCAGGCCCTTTTCACCCTCTCACGCTCTTCCCCCTTCACCACTGCACAGCACGCATGAACACGGATTCGGCCTGCAAGTACACGCCCATCCCCACCCATCCGCCCCCATCTCCACCCATCTCCCCTGATCCCCCTCACCTCGCTCCCCATCCCCCTACTCCCCTTCTTTCCCCTCACCTGCTGCACGGCGCGCATGAGTATACACCCTCTGCGAGTATACACCCTTTGCTACACGGCTCGCATCCCCTTTTCCCACCAATCTGCCCCGCACCCGCTCCCCTTTACCCCCTCCCTCTCCCCGTACCTTTCCCTTCACTGCTCACCTGCTGCACGGCGCGCATGAAGACGGAGTCGGGCTGAGAGTACACGCCCTTCATCTCGTTGAACACCACGCCTGCCCATTCAGAGGGGCGGCATGGGGGCATGGGGGAGTGGGGGCATGAGGGTATGAAGACTGAGCCAGGCTGAGAGTACACGCCCTTCATCTCGTTGAACACCACGCCTGCCGCGATCGCAACGGCCCATGGCGACATGAGGAAGAAACGGGGGTTGGGGCACCAAGGGACGGTAGGGACGGGGAAGACACGAGGAAGAAACACTCGCAATTGAGTGACCCAAAGATTGCTGGTATCCACAAAAGAGTTGAACTTCTAAAATTAGTGAGTTATGCACCCTCGACTGCCACAAATCCCATCCGTCCAATTTCACATTTTCATCAAGATCCCAGCCCTCCACACCACATCTTAAACGTTAATCGTGGCCGTGGATGTACCTTTAAAGGTGATGTCGTCCTTGGGGTCATCGAGCTCGTAGTGCCATCCCTCCTGCTTCAAGCCGTCTCAAACACCTTTCACAACTCCAAAAAACTTAATCGTGGCCGTTGATCTACCTTTGAATGTGATGTCGTCCTTGGGATCATCGAGCTCGTAGTGCCACCCCTCCTGCTGCTGCTTTGAGACGTCTCAAATACCATCTACACGCTAAGGTGATGTGCTCCTTCCTTGGAACCATCGGCGTACCTTTGAAGGTGATATCGTCCTTGGGATCGTCGAGCTCGTAGTGCCACCCCTCCTGCTGGAACGTCTTCTCGTCGCGCACGCAGTTGGGGAAGAACACCGCGTCCAGGTACACGTCCACCAGGTTGTAGAAGTCCTGTAACGGGTTGGACAATAATGAGGTATATTATTGAGGCTAATAAGACACCGCGTCCAGGTACACGTCCACCAGGTTGTAGAAGTCCTGTAACGGATCTCGCAACAACGGGAAACTTTTTCAGCCTCTCAAAACACCGTATCCAGGTACGAATCCACTAGATGGTGAGAGTCCTCACATGTCGCGCGATAACGAAGCGGAGAATGTGCTCTTGGGGATGGAGCACGGCGAGAGACCGTAGATTGAAGGGTGACTACAGTGCTAAGGGGAAAGCAGATTAAGTGTTTCAGACGGATGCAGTTCGGTGCACTGGTTTCAAATCCACTTCTCCTTGTCAGTGTTTCAGCGTGCGGGTCTCTATTATCGAATCAGGAGTGACGCTGACGTTACAGGCCCGACGCGCAAGCGCGCATACCAAGTGAAAGACGCAGCAAGACGCCGTACCTGCAGGTTCGTGGAAGCGACGGGGTAGCACGTGCGGTCGGGGTAGGTGAACGCGTTAAGGAAGGTGTTGAGCGAGCCCTTAGCGAGTTCGACGAATGGCTCTTTAACGGGGTACTTGCGCGAGCCGCACAGCACGGAGTGCTCGAGAATGTGCGGAATGCCCGTGCTGTCCTTGCTGTTGCGCGCAAGGCGGGGGGCACGGGGGAGAATATGGGGGAGGGAACGGTGCGGCGGAAGGAAAAGCGGGGGGGGAAGAGGAGAAAGCGGGAGGTGGGAGTGGAGGACACATGAGCAAACAAGGCAAAGATGATAAATAAGGGATATAAGGCCGTCTTTGAGCGACGCGTCTACACACATTGGACTCGCAGCATCAGGGTGGCACTGATCGACGCACTGTAGCTAATGTCATTCGAAATAAGACGATTTTTAAGGCTAGCAACCATTGTCTGATTTCGTGTGACGGGCATAGCTCCACACGCTGCGACTTATGCCTTGACGGAACCGCCTCTTGCACTGCTGGCTTCGTTCGTTCCACTTCTCTTTGCTCGCTCTCTTCGTCGTTCTGAAAGGACACCTGGCGAGCTAAGACAAATGACCGCGCGGACTCACGGGGGCGTGCGGAAGGTGATGCCGAAGACCTTGTTCTCGTCCGCGCAGCACAGCGACATGATCTGCGCGCCCGTGCGCTTGTGGCGGTACACCGTCGCCTCCGCGTTGTACTCCGCCACGTGCTCGCGCCGCTCCTCCTCGAACCCCAGCCGCGCCACCACCTCGGGACTCGCCGCTGCGGATGGGGGAGGAGAAGGAAGGATATTGGGAGAAAAAGGGAGAGTCAGGGGTTGGGATGTGATGGGGTGCGGTCGGATGTTGCCGAGCGCAAGAATGGCGGCCCTTGGGATGCTGGGGGGCGCCGTGAATCAAGAAAGCGAAGAAAAAGCCTTGGATCTTCTTCCGTGGTGATTTCAGGATGGAAACTAAGGACACGGTAAGCCAAGTAAGCAGCGGAGGCAGCGCATGGAGAGCACACGCGAGGGAGATGGTGGGTGGAAACCGCATCGGCGATCAACGCGAAGGAGTTTATAAACGGTCGAGTTAAAAAACGTAATCTAGAAGCCGGCGATCCGGAAGACAGCAGATCGAGGCCAGGCGAAGTGGCTAGTCACAGCAATGGCGGACCTTGCTGGCTGGCGGGAGCCGTGGCGACGGATCCGGACGGCGCAGCGGAGCACGACACGCGCGGAATTCGTGCAGCGTTTGCGGCCAGCTTCCGCGCAAGAACTGCTGACGGCGCAACGGTTCCGCCAGTCAGCCTACGCAATCCACGCCATGGCTCCCCGCGCAAGCCACGAGGAGCGGTGGTCGGGATCTGGATGACCCCCTTCGCGGACGATCCGCGCGCGACGGAATGCGCGCGCGGAACTGCGGAAGGCGCTACAGCAGCCGCGGAAGTGCCAGCGGCCGTGGAAAGAGCGCCTGACATGACTGCTGACGTCAGCGTGCGGAGAGCGGAGTACGGGGAAGCGCGCGACGCAGAAAGGTACGGAGAGGCAGCCACTGATGCCAATGGCAAATCCCTCGGTAGAGGAACCGTCCGTGGAGCTAAGAGCGCGAAAGACGGGCGTAATCGGACCAGAAGCGCACGAGCAGCACCAGACATTAACTCAAAACTAACAATAGACCCTCAAATAAACGAGCTATATGGCCTGTGCTGGCCTAACGCGTAAGCTCTACCGATCGAGTCTGTTGAGAATTCTGTATCATCCCTGAAGGCTGGAAAATGGTGCTGTGTGGATTCTCGAGCGTGTGGCGTGGAGAATGTTCCAGCTGGATAGCTTGCGGGGAAGGGGCTGAGGGGGAATTTCTGGGTGGGTGGGGGGAGTGTGGCGGGAATCTGCGGTGCGGCGGTGTGGGGAAAATTTCTGGCAGGGGGGGTGCACGTGGACAGCTGGAAGTGGTGTGATTTACGAGATGACGTGGTGTACCTTCGTGGATGGGTTACGAGATCACCACGTGGAGGAACGAAGCAACCAGTGCAGGTGAAGGTCTTCAACGGTGTTTTTGTAAAAACAAAATTCTAAACATTATTTCTCCCTGGTTTTTGCAGAGACTGTACAATTCTGACTTAAGGATCACAATGACGGGTATTTTAATAGCGCGAAAACTATATGTTGCAAGAGAGTTCTTTCCGCACCACACCGCACCCAACCATGCATGACGCCTGGTCCTCAGTTTCATTCTCCAGACTCTCCAAGTACAGAAACGCCAATGCGATCCGAGTCATATATTATAGCCTCCTAGGAGTTCCCCGCTGCTTGAAGCTGCCATTTTGGTCGCTTCTGTGGCGTTCGACCGTGCTCTGACGTGGTCGTTACCTGCGTGCACGTCGCACCGTAGTTCGCGGGGACAAGGTCGTTTCTGTGGCCGTTTTCCCCCAACGCCATGGCGAGAGGTTCGGTTTCCGGTCTGGGAAGGCTGAGACTGCTCCTAGCCTCCGCTAGACCGTCCGATCAAGCCCAACGTTTTGTTACCGCCCATCCCTCGATCTCGCAATTCGCATCTTTCCACGCCGTTTCGCCAGCAGCCAGCACGTGTTCGGATCTACCTCCCCCACATGCACCTCGCGATCCGCCATCCACCACCCATGCGCCATACGTCCCCGTCACTCCATCTCTGGGAACCGTCAGTGCCAGATCCGTCACCGTCGAACCCGTTAGTGCTAGATCCGTTATTAACTCCACTGCATTCGTTAGTACACTGGCGAGTCACTCACTCTCGAGAACTCCCAGATCCCTGATCGCTGCTCCATCTGTGATGACGTCATCCGCATCACCGCTTACGTCACATCTGTTCTCGCCTCCGTCGCTCTCATCGCCGTCTCTGTCGTCAACGTCCGCTCGTTCCTGGCTGCTGGCAGCCGGCGCCTCGTTCTCATTGGTCGCCGCGTTTTCCGGGACGGCAACGGTGGCGGCGAAGGAGCGGCCCGAGGTGGATCTGGGTCGCGACGCGGAGGTGGTGCTGTACCAGTACGAGGCGTGCCCTTTCTGCAACAAGGTCAAAGGTACACTATTGAATAATGCCAAAACTGCACTATCAAATGGCAATCTCGGTGCAAACACCGGTTTGTCGGGCGTGCTGGTGTCCCCCGCTACCTCTCCTCGCAATGCACGTCACGCCAACATATTTTCTCTTCAACCGCCGTCTGCTCCATTTCTGTGCGCTCCTTATCTCCGCAGCCTTCCTGGACTACCACCACATCAGATACCGAGTGGTGGAGGTGAACCCTCGTTGGCAAGGAGGTCCCCGTGCTCTCCATGAATCGGGAGTCGCGTGTCGGCTTTTCACGTGCTTCTCTCCTCCTTGCCATCGATTTCCCCCACTGCAGCCTTTCTAGACTACTACGACATCTCACACCGCGTGCTGGAGGTGAACCCCGTGGGCAAGAAGGCTCCCGTGGACGTCGTGTCGACTCCTCGCGTGCTTCCCCCTTCCCTGTCACCTCAACACCTGCCTCTCTCCTCCTCGTTTCTCTTCCTTCCCACCGCAGCCTTCCTGGACTACTACGACATCCCATACCGCGTGGTGGAGGTGAATCCGGTGGGGAACAAGGTGGTCCAATGCTCGTCTCGTCTCAATGGGAAGCCCCTTCTCCACTCCTCACGTCTCTCTCCTCCTCCTCTCCCCTCACCACTGATCCCTCTCACTGCAGCATTCCTGGACCACTACGACATCCCGTACCGCGTGGTGGAGGTGAACCCGTCAGTGGGAAGTTGATTGTCGTCTCCTCACGTGCTTCTCTTCTCCCTGTCGACTCAACAGCCGTCCTCTCCTCCTTGTCGCCTTTTTCCCCCCCACCACAGCCTTCCTGGACTACTACGACATCCCGTACAGGGTGGTGGAGGTGAACCCCGTGGGCAAGAAGGAGCTCAAGTGGTCGCCCTACAAGAAGGTGCCCGTGCTCGTCGTCAACGGCGAATCCCTCGTCGACTCCTCAGGTGCTTCTCCCCTCCTCGTCGACTCCTCAGGTCTTCCTCTTATCCCTTGTTGTCTTGAGTCATCGCATGAAGGAGCTCAAGTAAACCCTACAAGAAGGTACCCGTGCTCGTCGTCAACGGCGAGTCGCTCGTTGACTCATCAGGTGCGGCTCTCCCCCTTGCTTTTGAGACGTCTCATAACCAACCAACTTGTTACCTTGTGGCAAGAAGGTGCCCGTGCTTGTTGTCAACGGCGAGTCGCTCGTCAACTCCTCAGGTGCTGCTCTTGTCCCTTGGCTGCCCTCTTGGCTGCCCTCTTGTCCCTCTCACCGTCGCTGCGTGGACCAGATGTCTGCTTCTCGTCAGACTGCCTCTCACCATTTCCCCACCCCACCTCCAGACCCCTTCTCCAGCACTCCGCGCCCCACTCCTGATGGCCTCCTTCTCAACCCCCCTTCGCTCTGCTGCCCCCTATGCGCCAACTCGCCGCATGACAGCCATGCACACCCTCCAGTTGCCGCTTTCCCTTGGTATTAGCCCCTTCCCGCACTCTCCCCCTTTACCTCCTTACCATTTCCTCCTCCGCCCTCCTTCGTCCCCCCTCCCAACTTCTCCCCTTCCCCCCACCATCCCCTCTCTCCCCCCCCCCCCCCCCATCAACTCCGAGTTGCACCGCCGTCTGAACTCTTCCAAGGCCACCACATCCCACTCCCCCCCTTCCTGTTTCCCCCTCTTACATCCCCCCTCCGCGCGCCAGCCATCATATCCGAGTTGCACCGCCGCCTGAACCCCTCCAAGGCCACCAACATCCCGCCCGCCGCCCCTGCTGCCTCCGCCGCGGCGGCTTCCGCGCCTGGCGCGTATGCCAGCGCCATCGGCGGCGGGAGTAGCAGCAGCGCGGGGGGAACTAGCAGCAGCGGGGGCGGTGGTGTGGCGGAGGGAGTGGCGGAGGTTGTGGGGCACGTGGGCGAGCGGGGCGTGGCGGAGGGGCAGGCGGAGGAGGAACTGGACGAGGAGACCCGATGGCGCAGGTATGGTGTGGGGGAGGGAGAGGGGGAAGGGGGAGCAAGTGTAGGGGATTCGGGACAAGGCGAAGAGGGGGGTGGGGTGGTGGGGGGGGGGGGGGAATAGGACACTTTGGAAAAAAAGGGAAGAGGGGTGGGGGAGAGAGTGGGGTAAGGAGCGTAAGCATATGCTGTGCATTCTACATGGAAGCGTCTAAGTGGGGGCTAAAGGGTCGCGGAGAGAAGGGAAGGGTGGGGGAGGAGCAGGGAGGATTAAACAGGACTGTCCGTGGAAGGAACGAGCGGTGTTGACACCCATCATGCCTCTCTTCCCCTGTAGAATAACGGCTATCCTGGGTGCATCTCTCACTCTCTCTCTCTACTCCGTCTCTCTCTCCTCCATGGCAGGTGGGTGGATGGGCACCTGGTGCATCTGCTCTCGCCCAACATCTACCGCTCGCCCTCTGAGGCGCTAGAGGCCTTCGACTACATCGCCACCAATGGTATGCCTCCCACCCACCACTACCACCAGTGCTGCACTTTGGGTTTACTGAAACGGTTCTTGAGTTGACTCACAGTTGCCTCTGAGGCGCTAGAGGCATTCGACTACATTGCCACCAATGATACCACTTCCCCTCCGCCACTGTTGCTCTGCTCTCTCTAGCTCTCTTTTGTGCTTCTGAAGGAAGGCCTGTGCCAATGCGCCTGTTGTGAGGGCCATTCATGGCTGCCGACTCGCTTCGCTAGACTCGGCACATCCAGATCATCTCATAAACGCATGCCGGCAGCTTCTCCAGCATAGGGCCATGGTATGAGCGCACGGAGCAGCGCATGCCAGCATCTTCTCTGGCCACCTCTGCTCTGCTCTCTCTAGCTTCCTCTGTGCTCATGCTCTTGTGACAGCCATGAATGAAAAGCTTCCTCTGGTAGCGCAGCATGTCAAACAAGTGCTTTTTTAGAGTCGACTCAACAGTCCCTCCTCCTCCTCCTCCTCCTCCTCCTTCTCCTCCCCCCTTTGCAGGCGACTTCACGGCATGGGAGCGCATGATGGCTCAGTCCCAAGGAGCACCACTTGGCTCGTAATGTCTCCCACCACAAAGTGGTGCTCCTTGCGCATGATGGCTCAGTATTTTGGGGCGGGCGCCATGTATGTGATCGGAAAGAAGCTGAAGAAGAAGCACGGCATAGCGGACACATGCTCTATCTACGAGAGTCGACTCAACAACCCCTTCTCCTTCCCCTCCTCCTCCTCGGCCCCATGCAGGCAACTTCACGGCGTGGGAGCGCATGATGGCTCGCTATTTTGGAGCGGGCGCCATGTACATGATAGGCAAGAAGCTGAAGAAGAAGCACGGCATAGCGGATGAGCGCACCGACCTCTACAAGGCGGCTGACGAGTGGGTGGCGGCTCTTGGCGACAGGAAGTTCCTCGGTAAGTTGTCAGTGGGGGGTGAGTGTGGTATTGGGGTGAGTGGGTCGCATGAAGTGAGCAGTTGTGCTTTGAGTCGACTCCAAACACACGGACCTTTACAAGGCGGCAGACGAGTGGGTGGCGGCTCTCGGCGACAGGAAGTTTCTTGGTAAGTTCTCAGTGGGTTGAGTGGGTTGCATGAAGTGAGCAGGCGTGTTCTGAGTCGTCTCAAAGCGCACGGACCTTTACAAGGCGGCCGATTCGTGGGTGGTCACTCTTGGCGAGAGGAAGTTCCTGGTAGGTTGCAGTGGGTTGAGTGGTGTGAGTGGGGTGATTTGCAAGAAGCTGAAGAAGAAGCACCGCATAGCAGGTCAGGTGAGGTGTCATGGAGTGTGACTGTGTGTGCGTGCTCCTCTGCTGCGACCGTGCCTGTGCTGATTTTCAAGCTATGTTGATAATGCACCCTCTCTCTTTGCTGTGCCCTGGTTCCATGCCTACAGGAGGAGAGACCCCGAACCTCGCTGATTTGGCAGTGTTTGGAGTGCTGCGGCCAATCAGGCACCTGACAGCTGGCAGGGACATGGTGGCGAATTCGAGCATAGGGCTGTGGTACGAGCGCATGGAGCAGCACGTGGGCGCCTCTGCCAGGATCACCGCCGCTGACGGTGCTGCTGTGACTGGTGCTGCTGCGGGCAAATAGGGCGTTAAGGTGCAAGGAGGCACGACAGGTTGGCGAATTCGAGCATAGGGGCGTGGTAAGAGCGCATGGAGCAGCACGTGGGCGCCTCTGCCAGGATCGCTGCTGCTGATGGTGCTGCTGCGGGCAAGTAGGGCTGTGAGATGCCCCGGCGGCAAGATGGGGTTAGAGAATTTGCAGCGTAAGGTCGTGGTACGAGCGCATGGAGGAGCACATGGGTGCCTCTGCCAGGATCAGCCCTGCTGATGGTGCTGCTGCTGATGGTGCTGCTGCTGATGGTGCTGCTGCTGATGGTGCCGCTGTTAATGATGCTGCTGCAGACAAGTGGTTGCGGTTGCGAGTGAGGTGCCTGAGGGCAATATGGGGTTAGAGAATTCGAGCTTAGGGCCATGGTACGAGTTCACGGAGCAGCACATGGGCGCTTATGCAAGGATCACCGATGGTTGGGAAGCGGAGATTGCTGTGGAGATGGCATCTTGGCATTGCTGTGCCTTGGGAACAGTGAGCATGGAAAGGTTGGTGGTTTGTGGCTCAGGCGTTGCAACTCAGTTTGGCAATAGAGGGCTTCTGATTACGGGATTGACGATAGCTTAGCTAATATGGCGTGGAGGCAAAAGTAATGGATCACATGGAAAGCCAAGGATGGCTCAACTACTAGATTTACATCAGAGCTGGGTGTAGATTAAGAGTACTAAGCATCATAATGAAAAGCTCTCTGAAAGGAACACTATGCCAGGCACTGTCCCACGATCCCTGCCCAACTGACCTGCGTTGGAACTTGGAATGCTTTGAACAGCTGCCTGAAATCAGGACCCGACCCGAAGCTCCATCTCACTGGTGTCGCCATCGTTATTGTCGCTGTACATCCTGCACAATCTCCTCCGGTTGGCTGGTTCCACTGTACTACAGTGTAACGAGGAAATTTACGACGACGACAATCACCTCCCAATATCGTATGGGTCGGACGGAATTGCCCTTCACGCGGTAAATCACGCGGAGTTAGGGCGTGTTACATTTTCGGTTTTTTTTTTTGCCTTGTGTGCAAAGGGCTGGGGCGGCAGAGACTCGATTCTCCAACACTCCCCCTCGCACCAGACCCGAAGCACACATACGCCCATTCTTACTCTCCTCTTACATCTCCTTGGCATACACTCCATGCTGCTGCCCATGTTGCTTCTCCTCATTCTCCTCAAACTGCTGCACTGCTTCATGAAGTGTCATGAGACCTGCTCTTGCCTTGCACATGTTGAATGCATCATGTGGAAGAACCTTAGTCATGAAATCTGCCGCTTGGTCGAATGAACGGCAAAAGTTGACGGCGAGAACTCCCTTCTCTAGTTGCTCACGAATGAAATGGTACTGCACCTTGATGTGTTTTGTACGCCCATGATGAACCGGATTCTTGGAGAGGGCGATAGCTGAAGTGTTGTCCACGTAGAGCGGAGTTGGTTGAGTTTGCGGCTGCCTCAAGTCCTCCAAGAGTCCACGTAACCAAATTGCCTCCCTTGCTCCTTCGGTCATTGCTATGTACTCAGCTTCGGTTGTAGAAAGCGCCACACAACTTTGCTTGCGCGATTGCCAAGAAACAGCGGCACCGCACATAAGGAAGATATAGCCACCGGTGGACTTGCGTGTGCTCAAATCTCCCGCCCAATCTGCATCGGTAAAGCCTTGGAGGGAGCTTGCATGTGGGCTGGCTTGGAAGAGAAGACCATGATTAGAAGTACCTTTGAGATACCGAAGAGCTCGCTTGGCTGCATGCATATGGATAGGTGATGGGGCACTCATGTGTTGAGCGAGCTTGGATACCGTGAATGCTAGGTCGGGCCTTGTGCATAGGGCTGCATACATGAGACACCCAACCTGACTTTGGTAGAGAGCTAGGTCTTGTGGGGATACCTTGGGTGAATTCTCACCATGATGCTCACTCTCCTCAAGACACAACTCCTCAAAACCCGTGATATCCAGGCTTGACTCTCTCTCCTCAAAGGGCTGATGTGAAGACAAAGGGACAAAGTTGGTAGGAAGTGGGGTAGGTGATGGCTTGCTATCATCAAGACCAAACCTCTCAAGGACCTTTTGGATGTACCTTTGCTGGAATAGGAAGATGGACCGTGACTTATGATCTCTCACAATGTTCATACCAAGATAATGACTCGGCTCACCAAGATCGGTCATTGTGAATGCACTCATGAGAATACCTTTCACCTTGTTGAGGAGATCAAGAGAACCTGAGACTAGGAGGAGATCATCGACATATACCAAGAGCCAAATGTACTCCCCCTCACTCGTGTGCATGAAGTACAACGCGTTGTCTCTCATGGACCTTGTGAAACCGTGCTTGAAGAGTACCTTCTCAAGAGCATGATACCATACCCGTGGAGACTGTTTGAGACCATAAAGGGACTTTACCAAGCGACAAACTCGACCCGTACCATCATCATAACCTTCGGGTTGTGCCATGTATACCTCTTCTTCCAAGACACCATAGAGAAATGCGTTCTTGACATCCATTTGATGGATATGGAGACCAAGATATGCGGCTATGGCGAGGAGGACTCGTACCGTGGTGTACTTCGCTACTGCGGCAAAGGTTTCGGTGAAGTCTAGACCTGGAATTTGGGAATAACCTTTTGCCACTAACCTTGCCTTGTACCTATCAAGTGTACCATCACCTTTTACCTTAATCTTGTAAACCCACTTGACACCAATTACCTTCTTCCCTGGAGGTGGCTCAACAAGACGCCATGTACCTCTCTTCATGAGACTCTCAATCTCTTCTTCCTCGGCCTTCAACCATTGCTCTCTCTCGGGACTTGCCACTGCCTCAGGACGACTCAATGGCTCTCGTGGAAGGTGTGACGCTGCCATGCATATTGCCTCTACCTTCTTGTGAATGCAATCCTCGCTCTCCTCACATGTGCACCTTGATGACATGTCAACCATGAATGTGAATGGCTTTTTTACCTTGCGGACTCGTTTACCTTTACCCAAAGCCTCACTTGGGTGAGACAAATCAATGGTAGGGTTCGGTCTCACAGTGGTTGGATGCATTGACACGGTCATCTGCGGCTGAGACAATGGCTGCGACATCAGCTGCGACGGCGGCACGACTGCATGATCTTCTCCCGGCGTGGAACTCTCTCGATTATCGGTGTTGACTTGAGGAATAGGTGTGGTGACTTGTGTCGGTGAAGCTGAAATGTTCGTCGGCATAGTTGGCTGTGAAGATTCTCTTGGTGGGGATCTTGAGACTAGAAGCTTGGGAATTGATGATGACGCTGCGTTGTCGAAAGTTGGAGATGGTTTGGTCTGATTGGCGCTGTTTCTCGGTGTTGAAGATGGCGGTAACTGATGACGGCCGATTCCGGGACATGGGGGTGAAGTTGAGAAAGGTCTTGGGTGAAGAAGTGGGCTGTTGGAGCTGGTGTTGGTGGTGATTCGCTGAAGTGATCCTCGTGCTATGAGCTGGCTTGACGTTGGAACCTGAAGTGATGAACGTGTGTGAGAACGAGATGTTGCGGTAATGGTTGTCTTGTTGGTAGGAAGAATTGTAGATGGTGCTGATGTAGGTACTTGGAGTCTTGTAGCTGTAGGTTGCTGCTGCATTGGATGATGGTGAGCTTCTGTAGTTGCCTCTGAATTGACGGCTGGTGATGGGTCCCTAGACTGAGACTTAGAAGGGAAAAATGGCTTTCTAGCTAGCTTACCCTCAACACAAGATGGACATGGAACGGAAGAAAGGGACTTGACTGCAATTTCACTCAAACTCAATCCTTCCACGCTCTTGTGATTCACCAACTCTTTCAATGCTTGCATTCCCAAGTGCCCCAAGCGTGCATGCCATACCTCAGCTTGGGAGATACTCCCTTTGTTGGTTGAAACAGCGGGAAGCGAGACAACATCGTTCTTCGTATTGTTAGAACCGCGCTTGATCTCCAACTTCATCTTGTAGAGCCGCCCGGTACGCTCGCCTTCAGCCACCAAATTTCCTGCACTGTCCCACACTTTGGCTTTCCCCCCTTGCAATAGTACAGAGGCACCTTTCTCTTCAAGTTGTCCAGCTGAGAGCAAGTTTGCTCCCAAATCAGGAACAAACAAAGCTTTATTGACACAAAATGACTTACCATCCTTTTCGAACTCAAGCTTGCCGACTCCTTTGATAGGTACTTTGCCAAGATCAGCAAGTGTCACAGCTTTTGAGTCCTATGAGGGCTGAAAATCCTTGAGAATGGACTGATAGGGAGTCATGGTTTCAGAACAGCCACTATCAAGGATAAACTCCTCACTACTAGTAGAAAAAACGTGCATGCAAGTGGCGGCGTTGAAAAGGACAGGACCTTCAGAATCTTTGGACTCATTTTGACTTGTAGAATGACTTGCCATGTTTGCTATGGCTGCCTTACCCTTTTCGGATAGTAGGTGAGGTGGGGGAACCCAATTAGGAGGCTTCTTAGGACAAGCATACCACGGATGACCCCACTCATGACAACAAAAACACTCGAAATTAAACTTTTTAGCATTTGAGGCTTGGCTGAAATTATTGACTCTTGGCGTGTAGACTCGTGCATTCCTAGGCTGATATTGATTGGGAATAGAAGGCCTTGGCTGGATATAGGGACTTGACTTATAGGGAGGACTTGACTCAGCAAAACGAGAGGGTTTGTATGGGTTGGAAGGTGACTGAAAATTCGTACCATAGTAAGGTTGAGGGCGGTTTGGGCTGAAATTTCCTTGCCTCTGGGATTGGTTGCCATATCTTGTAGCTGCTGCAGCACTCCACGCACCCTCGTCACTCCGCTTGTTTCGTGCAAGGTCTCGACTTTGCTGCTCGTTGACAAGGGCTTCGAAGATGAACGCACGGGTCTTCATTGATTGCGGAAGTGCTTGTAGTGTTGCACGAAAAGTGTCCCACTCCGGCGTAAGGCCGGTGAGGATGACGGTCTTGAAAAGAGACTCTGGAATCTCCAAGCCGATCGCGGCTGCTTCCTCTAGCATCGTTTCAGCTCGTTGAAGGTAGGTTTGGGCTGGTTCTTCTTCTTCCATCTTGAGACTCATGAAGCGGCTCCACATCTCGGCCTGGCTGCTCTCGGATTTTGACTGGTGCATAGACTTCAGTCGGCTCCATGCTTCCTCTGCGCTGTTTGCCTTTGTAGAGCAGGGTAGGAGCGACTTTAACTGCTGCTCGTGAATGCTATTGAGTAGGTAGAGGAAGGCCTCCTTGTTGCGCCGTTCGTAGAGTCGTTTTTCAGCTTCTGAAGCATCTGCTGCTGGTTTGGCTGCTTCTCCAGTGTAGTAAGGCCAGAGATCCAGAAGGGATGCAATTAGCTCAAACTGAGTTGCCCATGTTGGAAAATCTTTGCCGTTGAACTTGGGGAGGTGAAGCTTAGGCATGAAGGAGGTGAGTGGTGAGTATGTAGTTGAAGAACTGCCTGGTGCAACTGCTTCTACTAATCCAGTAGCTCCTGATGTTGACTCTGAAGCTCCTCCGGCTGGCTGGAGTGCAGGGCCAGATGGGTTGTCTCCCGCCATGGATGGATTGTGCTAGGATAGGAAGGTGGTGGCGCTCGGTTGATCGAAACGACGGGCTCTGATACCAGCTTGCAAAACAGAGTAGCTTTGATGACTGGTAGGCTGGAAACTTGGCTGGAAAAGCTCAACAGAGCTGCTGGACTTGGCTTGATGAGAGAAAACTTCACTATGATCAAGATTAACAAGCCCACTAAAGCACAACTTCTTAAGCATTACAAACATGCAGATTGATAGCTCAAACTAGGCTGCTAGACGAGGCAACTTCCTTGGGAACTTGGGCACAATTCAGATTCCATGAACCTTGAGTGACTTGAGAGCCACATGAGGTGCATGAATAAGAAATCTCTGGAATGTACTGTTATAGCTGATTCTGTTTTGTAGAAACCTGTAGAAACTGTCGACCCTTCTGTTTGAGAGCAATCCCGAACTGTATCGAGTCTTCGGCTGCAATCTGATTTTGCTGCGGAAGTTTCTGAATTTTCGCGAAGCCTTCAATCCGTCGCCGACATTCTTGCTGCTCCTTGTGTGCAAAGGGCTGGGGCGGCAGAGACTCGATTCTCCAACACCCTTCACGCGGTAAATCACGCGGAGTTAGGGCGTGTTACATTTTCGGTTTTTTTCCAAACGGACCGGACCGTCCGAACGGTTAAAATCGGTTTTTTGTTAGACGCTTTGTTCAAGTGGGTTTCAGTTTGTTTCAGAGTGGTTAAAGTCCGGACCGTACGGAAAAATCGAAAATGTAACACGCCCTTACCTCCCTTCCTCCCAAGTTCACTCCCTAGTTCACAAGCACAGCGAAATCTTTAGTTCGCCCTTCAGTTGTGTCAGCGCACTCCATTGCCCTCGATCGACTGGATTCGAGCCACCGTTTTGCTGCCGCGAGAAATCCATTCCAAATGGTGTTCGCGTGGGCGAGTTTGCATCTCTCCTTGAATTGTCTCATCTCCGCGTCAACCATGCGGGCTCGCCCGGCGGATGCAGCTTTGCTGCTCATACCATCACGTGCTTCCTTGGATCCAAATCCACCGCCTCTCAAAGCCGACATTAGGTGATACGGACTCTCCACTTGCCTCTACAGTCCCTCAAGGCGTTGAGGCGTCCGAATGCCTCAGATCGCGGGAGCAACATTGCGGTGCCTCCACGCAACCTATTCAACGACCGGCGCCATGGATATGTTATCCCTTTTCTGTTCTACTTTCTCAAAGCCTTCCAAGGTTATTCCGTATAACCGCGCGTTTTCCACCAACTGATCCTGGGATTTTCCAGCTTTCGTTTTTAGGGACCCACAGCCATAGCGGCTGCAACCTCAGAGCCCCGGACGCTAGAGCGTCTCTGCTCGTCCAAAATCGCCAAGCACCTCAAGCGCGCCTCGTCCCTGCTGGGCTCAGGCGACCTGTGGCAAATGCACGCCGACGCGGAGGAGGCGAAGGCCACCACCCTCGCCGCTCAAGGCGGCGACGGCGCGGGTTCCGTGCGACGGCCGTGGAAAATGAGCAGCCGCGTTGTCGCGCGCATCGAGGCGTCGCTGTCGCGCTTCACGTGGCGGAAGCCGCCGCCTTCTCCCACGGCCCCGTGCAAACCGCCCAGGTCGCCGATAGCCGCGAGTGTCACCGCCGATCCGCCAGCATTTTCTCCGAAATCGCCCAATATTGCGTCGAGGAGGTTCAAGCAGCGCGGCGCCGCGGAGTCGCAGATTCAGTTCCGCGTCTCCCCGTCCCCGCGTTCCTCCGCCGCTCGCGTCTCTCCGGGACTTGATTCCGCTGCCGCCCGCAAGCGCAATGCCGCGCACGCCACACAGGAGGAGCCCGTCCTGGGTCGTGGGGCGTCCGCCGCTCGTCGCGGGCGGGCAGGCTTGAGCATGGATGAGGGGCAGCTGCGCGCATGGCAGCTGCACGGTGCAGCAACGCCTTCAGACGCCGTTGACAAAGACAGTCTAGACAGGAATGCCGTTACTACTTGAGACGTTTTGTTTCCAAAGAAGCAGACGAAGGATCTGAACCTGGAGGATTTGGGTCGTGCTGGCATGACAGAGCGGTCTTTCGTGCGCAGCGGGCGGTGCGCTCAGAGCGGACCGCTGCGGCAGCGGAGAGACGGCAACCAGCCGAGCAGCAGGGTCACATGGAGCCCTGCTGCTATCGGCAACGGAAGGGCCGCCATGGAGAGCCCTGGTACTAGTGGAAGCAGGAGAGACAGCATGGGGAGCCCCCATATTAGCGGAAGCGGGAGAGGCGGCAGCAGCAGGGCTATGGTGGTAGGCGCGTCTCGGTCGCTCACTCCCCCTCCCAGCCCAACTGTTAAAACATTCTCGTTCGAGGCGTACCAGCAGCAGCAGATGGCCGCGCAGTGATGTCCTAGTTGTGTGTTTGCCGGGAGGTGTTTGCCTCGCTGATCGCTAGTTGGTTGTGTGCTGAAAGTATTGCTTGCTGTTGCCACAACTAAAAGTGAAATTCATGTTCATAGAGCTTATTTCATGTTCATAGAGCTTATTTCATGTTCATAAAGCTTATTTCATGTTCACAGGGCTTATTTGATGTTCACAGAGCTTATTCCACGTTCAAAGAGCTTGTTACATGTTCATAGATCTTATTCCATGTTCATAGATCTCATTCCATATTCATAGAGTCCTCTAGCATAACGAGAACCATCATATGCCCTTCAACGGTTCAGATGTGTGGTGAAAGACTCGGATCCAGATTTGAGTAGCTTTGGTACGGTTCAGCTGGTATCCTCACGATGTAACACGGTTCTTTTGAGGATCTCTAGTTAGGAGGTGTCCAGCTCGTACATTTACTGTTCGTAAACCCGCTCAGTTACCACATATTTTTATGTAACACTGTATTGAACGTGTTCTGCGGACACAATCAGCTTTCGTTCACAAGACGGCACGCCCCATGCACGTACCTCGAGTCGTCTGACTCACGTTACTGGAATCAGCGGACGCGAACAAGGGTGCAGCACCGCGTCCTGGCCACTACAGAAAGTACCCCCTGTATCGCTTGCATGATTTCGCCAGTGGCTCGCTACACTCGCCAACACCCCCTCCGCGTGCCCAGAAATTCGTTAGCTATGATTGACGAGAGAAACTGTTACCTCGTTTCGAACGCGGTCAGAGCACTGTTGATTCGTGTGACGGGGAACGTGTCCGCGCTCCTGAAATTACAGATGGTTGGACTCAACTCACAATGCATTCGTTTTTAGGTACAGTGATTAATTTTGAACCTCGAGACGTATGTTGGCACTAAAAAGCCCGAAATGAACGAACTGGACACGCCCTTAGAGAATTCAAACGGAGCTGTATCACTCACCAGGGTTACCCTGCGAAATTCTATCCTTACACCTCCTGCTGCGGCTCGCGGCCTACCCTCCCTCACCGCGCCGCACACCAGTTTACGTGATCAAATACATCGCATTTTGCGTGTGCTTCGGGGATGACGTGTCAGTCGATCGCCAGGTGGATCGACGGCACTGGTCGCGCCATGACGTCAGCATCTCGTATAAGTACCGCGCAGGGTCACGACATCAACTTATCGCGTTTCCTGACCGGCAAGTCTAACGGTTTACGCGATCGTACAGAATCCCGGCGCGCGACGGATGCCGGCAGCAGCGGAACCGCCAGACGACCGTTCCTGTTGCGGGGAGGCGTTGAAAGTCCAATCCGGGTCACCGCTGCGCGCTCCGACCGCTGTGGGTGTAGCAGATCGCTGGTTCCTGCTGCTTTCGCGTTGACTCATAAGCAGACTAATTCTAGGAGGTCGCTCGTATGCTCGCGATCCGCCGGCGCGCCTTGCGCTACGAGCGCCATTCACGATGATTGGCGATCCGCGACTTGCATTCCCTCGCTTAGCTTGATCAGCCAAAGTGTCACAGGTCCTGTCAGCGTGATTGGCGCGCAACATGCGCATAGCTTCCGCCGATACAGCACGATCTGCCAAGCGCGGGCGGAAAGCGGGAGCGCGGAGGCACGGAATGGTGCGGGGATCGGCGCGGATGCGCGCGGGGGAAGAGAGGGGTTCGCGGCGGACGGGATCATTGTTCTGGCGGGCGGACTGAAGAGAGACGGCACCGTTCCAGGTGCGCCGGCAACCGCTTGCATTGACAGCCCTTGTATTGGCTGCAGCACCCACTGGTATCCCTCATTCATTCCTCCCACGATTTTGTTTTTACGTACACCCTTTGATCCCATCCACCTTCCCCTTTTCTTTTTCCCTCCCCGTCTCCTCCCCCTTCCGCTCCCGCTTCTTCATCATTCCCCCTCGCGCCGCAGAGCAGAGTGGGTGGCGCGGCGCCTGGATGCAGCGGCGGAGCTCTACTGCGCCATGAACGGGGAGGAGGGGGATGCCGCCATAAACGGGGTCCAGGGGGGCGCCTCCGCCTCCGCCAGCGCGTGCCGCTGCCCCATAGTGGTGCTGGGGGCGGGCACTCCGCACGTGCAGCCGGTGCTGAGTCAACACGGGCACATGTGGCATGAGAGCAGCGCGTGCGCTCAGTACCTCATGGACAAGGTAGCGTTTGGGGCAGGTAGCGTTTGGGGCAGGTAGCGTTTGGAGGAGGTAGCATCTGGGACACGTAACATCTAGGGCAGGTAACAGTTCCTCGTGTTGAGAATGTGCGAGTCAGAGTGTTAGTGAGTTCGAGCGACAGAGGGTTCGAGGGTGAGTGAGAGCGTGAGAGATGCTGTGCAGTTCAGTCTTGGGTGGAACGGTAGCATCTGGGGCAGGTCGCTGTAGCTCAGTGACAAGGTAGCAAGGTAGCGCCTGGGGAGGGTGCGTACACCCAAGGAGGGAGGTTATGTGACTGAGAAGTGGTGAGTGCAATGCTGCGCAATAGATTCCTGTTTAGAACGTTGCTCATGCATCAACACAGCCGCCTGCCACACCTCTCCGCCCCATCCCCCCCCACAGCACGGCACGGCATCCCCTCCGCACACATCTACAAGGAGTGGGCGTCGTACGACACCGTGGCAAACGGCTTCTTCTCCCTCGTGTGGCCCCTCAAAACGGTCCCTCCCCACTGTTCCCCCCTCCTGCTCTTCCCCCCCTCAGCACGGCATTCCCTCCGCACACATCTACAAGGAGTGGGCGTCGTACGACACCGTGGCAAATGGCTTCTTCTCGCTCGTGTGGCATGCAGTGCCGCGGCGCTGGCAGCGCCTGCTGGTGCTCACGTCCGCCTTCCACATGCCGCGCTCCGCCCTCATCTTCCACTGGATCTTCTCCCTGCATGGCTCGGCGCATTCTCTTCCGCGCTCTCCTCACTCTCCTCCGCTGCTTTCACCATCCTCCTCCTCCTCCTCCTCCTCCTCCTCCTCCTCCTCCTCCTCCTCCTCCTCCTCCTCCTCCTCCTCCTCCTCCTCCTCCTCCTCCTCCTCCTCCTCCTTCCTCCCCCTCTCCCCCTTGCGGCCACCACACGGCCAATGGGAGGAGTACATTCCCCCCTGGAGGGACCATGGGGGAAGGGCGGACGGAAAAGAGGAGACTGTGGAGGGGGAAGGTGCATTCAGGGGAGGGTGGTCTGCAGGACAGTGTGGGGGGAAGGCAGAGGGGAATGGGGCTCCGTTGGGGGATTCACCTGATCAGGTGGTTTCTCAGGTGGCGTCACCTGGGGATCCGTTGGAGCAGGGCTATGAGATTCGGTTCATCAGTGCATCGGATGCCGGAATCAACCCTGACATGATTCAGGTGCTTCCCTCCCCATCCATGCGCCATTACACATACCACTACCCTCACATGGTTCAGGTGAATCCATTCCGCCCTACACACACCATCTACTTGGAATCAGCATGAGTAGTTACCCCATCCCGTACACAACCCCCTACACACACCATCTGCATGGAATAGCCATGTCACCTGCATGGCATGTGCACGGCATCACTGTTTGCAGCACTAATTCACACCACTCCCATCCAAGCCTGCTCTCCCCTCCCTCCTCCCTTTCAGCCGAGCTTAGGCAAGGAGGCGGGCAGCATTCGCCTGCTGCAGCAGTGCATGGCATGTCTGCATCTTCTTCCTGCCTCGTCCTGTTCCCCACCACCACTCCCAACACTCCCTGCTCTGTATCCCCCTCCCCTCTGGCATTCGCCTGCTGCTGCTCTTCATTGCATCAGTGCGCTCCCCGCCAGCCTTCTACCCCTACATACACACGGAGCATCCTTCCCAACACTTCCCTCCTCTTACTCCATCTCCCTCTCAATCCCCATCCCTCCCAGGCCCGGCAAAGCAAGGAAGCGGACAGCATTCAACTGCTGCTGCCCTACATTGCTTCAGTGCGCTCCTTGCCGGCCTTCCACCACTACATGCACACAGAGCACCCCTCCCAATTCTCCCTTGTCTGCTCAATTCCCATTCCTCCCAGGCCCGGCAAAGAAAAGAAGCAGACAGCATTCGCCTCCTGCTGCCCTACATTGCGTCAGTGCGCTCCCTTCCTGCCTTCCACCACTACATGCACACACAGCACCCTACCCAATACTTCTCCCTTCTCTACTCAATCCCTCATCCCTCCCAGGCCCGGCAAAGAAAGGAAGCGGACAGCATTCGTCTGCTGCTGCCCTACATTGCGTCGGTTCGCTCCCTTCCAGTCTTCCACCACTACATGCACACGCAGCACCTATCTCATTCTTTCCTTATACTCTCATTCTCCCCCTCTCCCAGGCCCGGCAAAGCAAGGAAGCGGACAGCATTCGCCTGCTGCTGCCCTACATTGCTTCAGTGCGCTCCTTGCCAGCCTTCCACCACTACATGCACACGGAGCACCGAGCATACAACGTGCAGCACCAGGAAGAGTTTGGACGGGTGAAGAGTGCTGAGGAGGCGACGTTTGATCCCATCAAGCTGTGCTACTGAAGGGGTGTGGAGGGATGTGGATGGGTGGTACGTGGTTGAACTGAACGGAGAGTCTGCCAGCCTTCCACCACTATATGCACATAGAGCACGGGGCTATGATGTGCAGCACCAGGAAGAGTTTGGGCAGGGAAGGAAGAGTGCAGCAGAGGCAACGTTTGATCCAATTAAGCTGTGCTATTGAAGGGGTGTGGAGGGATATGGATGGGTGGTACGTGGTTGAAGAGAGAGGCCGCAGAGAGTCTTCCAGCCTTCCACCACTACCATATATGCACACAGAGCACCGAGCGTACAATGTGCAGCACCAGGGGGAGTTCGGGGGGGGGGCTGGGGTGAAGAGTGCAGGGGATGCGACGTTTGATCCGATCAAGCTGTGCTATTGAAGTCATTTCGGTGGTGGCTGAGTTTTTCAGTGCTGTGCGGACAGGCTTACTCTTGCATCAGTGCAAAACTTTGTTTGAATGCTGACTTATCAGGTATTTTTACAAATGCGGGGTGACGAAGTGGCTTACCATAAGTTTAATAGTATCAATTTCATAAGTACATACTGATGCTCCGTACTGATATCAGTACAGTAATTATGATCCAGTGGAGATATCTCAGTACCAAAGGGTCCATGTTCACTAGAAGTTCCGTTTACTGATCTCAGTATCAAATAGTACCGGTAACTGATCTGATTGAGAACTAGATGTTGATAATCTGCTACACTAGATAGTACACTACTTGACTACTCATGCACTGTAGGTATACATGGGGGGTTCCTCTTGGCCGCCAGGAGCAGAGCTCCTGACGTTACACCCACCGCGGTGAGGTGGGAACCATCGCTTGGGACCCTGTTGGGGGGGGGGGGGAGAAAGAGAGAGAAAAAAAACACAATGCATACTGCCCAGGGGAACCTGATGGGGAACCTGATGGGGAACCTGATGCGAACCTGATGCGGAACCTGATGTGGAACCTGATGGGGAACCTGATGGGTGGGGAACCTGATGGGGAACCTGATGGGGAACCTGATGGGGAACCTGATGGGGAACCTGATGGGGAACCTGATGGGAAACCTGATGGGGAACCTGATGGGGAACCTGATGCGGAACCTGATGGGGAACCTGATGGGTAACCTCATGGGGAACCTGATGGGGAACCGGATGGGGAACCTGATGGGGAGCCTGATGGGGAACCTGATGGGGAACTTGATGGGGAACCTGATGGGGAACCTGATGGGGAACCTGATGCGGAACCTGATGGGGAACCTGATGGGGAACCTGATCGGGAACCTGATCGGGAACCTGATGCGGAACCTGATGCGGAACCTGATGGGGAACCTGATGGGGAACCTGATGGGGAACCTGATGGGGAACCTGATGGGGAACCGGATGGGGAACTTGATGGGGAACCTGATAGGGAACCTGATGGGGAACCTGATGCGGAACATGATGGGGAACCTGATGGTGAACCTGATGGCGAACCTGATGGAGAACCTGATGCGGAACCTGATGGGGAACCTGATGGGGAACCTGATGTGGAACCTGATGGGGAACCTGATGGGGAACCTGATGGGGAGCCTGATGGGTGGGGAACCTGATGGGTGGGGAACCTGATGGGGAACCTGATGGGGAACCTGATGGGGAACCTGATGGGTGGGGAACCTGATGGGTGGGGAACCTGATGGGGAACCTGATGGGGAACCTGATGGGGAACCTGATGGGGAACCTGATGGGGAACCTGATGCGGAACCTGATGCGGAACCTGATGGGGAACCTGATGGGGAACTTGATGGGTGGGGAACCTGATGGGGAACCTGATGGGGAACCTGATGGGGAACCTGATGGGAACCGGATGGGGAACCTGATGGGGAACCTGATGGGGAACCTGATGGGGAACCTGATGGGGAACCTGATGGGGAACCTGATGGGGAACCTGATGGGGAACCTGATGGGAACCGGATGGGGAACCTGATGGGGAACCTGATGGGGAACCTGATGGGGAACCTGATGGGGAACCTGATGGGGAACCTGATGGGGAACCTGATGGGGAACCTGATGGGAAACCTGGTGGGGATCCTGATGGGGAACCTGATGGGGAACCTGATGGGGAACCTGATGTGGAACCTGATGCGGAACCTGATGCGAACCTGATCCGGAACCTGATGCGGAACCTGATGCGGAACCTGATGGGGAATCTGAAGGGTGGGGAACCTGATGTGGAACCTGATGGGGAACCTGATGGGGAACCTGATGGGGAACCTGATGGGGAACCTGATGGGGAACCTGATGGGAACCTGATGGGGAACCTGATGGGGAACCTGATGGGGAACCTGATGGGGAACCTGATGGGGAACCTGATGGCGAACCTGATGGAGAACCTGATTCGGAACCTGATGGGGAACCTGATGGGGAACCTGATGGGGAACTTGATGGGGAGCCTGATGGGGAACCTGATGGGGAACCTGATGCGGAACCTGATGGGGAACCTGATGGGGAACCTGATGGGGAACCTGATCGGGAACATGATGCGGAACCTGATGCGGAACCTGATGGGGAACTTGATGGGGAACCTGATGGGGAAGCTGATGGGGAAGCTGATGGGGAAGCTTATGGGGAACCTGATGGGGAACCTGATGCGGAACCTGATGGGGGGAACCTGATGCGGAACCTGATGCGGAACCTGATGGGGAACCTGATGGGGAACCTGATGGGGAACCTGATGGGGAACCTGATGGGGAACCTGATGGGAACCTGATGCGGAACCTGATGGGGAACCTGATTGGGAACCTGATGGGGAACCTGATGCGGAACCTGATGCGGAACCTGATGGGGATCCTGATGGGTGGGGAACCTGATGGGGAACCTGATGGGGAACCTGATGGGGAACCTGATGGGGAACCGGATGGGGAACCTGATGGGGAACCTGATGGGGAACCTGATGGGGAACCTGAGGGGGCACCTGAGGGGGAACCGGAGGGGGAACCGGAGGGGGAACCGGAAGGGGAATCGGGTGGGGGAATCGGAGGGGGAAACTGATGGGGGAAACTGATGGGGCAAACTGATGGGGGAAACTGATGGGAAACTGATGGGGGAAACTGATGGGGGGAACTGATGGGGGAAACTGATGGGGAAACCGATGGGGAAACTGATGGTGTAAGCTGATGGGGATGGAATGAGGGAGAAGGGGATGGGATGAGGGAGAGGACGTTCCTCCTGCAGGAAGGCAGGCGAGTCGACCACCAGGCGTGACACCTGTGGTGCGGTGGGGGCGGTGAGGGGAGGGAGAAGGTCACGTAGTTCAAGGGTAGTTGGGAAGAAGGAGGATGAATGCGGATCATGGAAAAGAGAGCGGTGGTGGATGAGGAGAGAGGGGCAAAGGGGCGTGGGATGATGCAGCAGTGGAGTGGAGGCTAATGGAGCTCAACCAACCACCTGTCGATGCTCAAGTCGATGCTCAAGTCACCAGCGTCTCCATCACCATCTGGGCTATGCGTGCTGTGACCCATCTGGGCCATGCGTGCTGTGACCCATCTGGGCCATGCGTGCTGTGACCCATATGGGCTATGCGTGCTGTGACCCATCTGGGCCATGCGTGCTGTGACCCATCTGGACTATGCATGCTGTGACCCATCTGGGCCATGCATGCTGTGACCCATCTGGGCCATGCGTGCTGTGACCCATCTGGGCCATGCGTGCTGTGACCCATCTGGGCTATGCATGCTGTGACCCATCTGGGCCATGCGTGCTGTGACCCATCTGGGCCATGCGTGCTGTGACCCATCTGGGCTATGCGTGCTGTGACCCATCTGGGCTATGCGTGCTGTGACCCATCTGGGCCATGCGTGCTGTGACCCATCTGGGCCATGCGTGCTGTGACCCATCTGGGCTATGCGTGCTGTGACCCATCTGGGCTATGCGTGCTGTGACCCATCTGGGCTATGCGTGCTGTGACCCATCTGGGCTATGCGTGCTGTGACCCATCTGGGCTATGCGTGCTGTGACCCAACTTTGGTCTGTTTTGAAACCCCATGTGTGACCCACCCCACCTCGACGCTCTATCTATGGGAGTCGACGCTCTATCTGTGAGTGAGGGCATGAGATTCAGTAAGGTGAGGGGGAATGAGGTGTGGTTGTGAGGGATGGACATGGCGCGATGGAGAGGCATGACTGACCTCGCTGTTGAGCTGCTGCAGCAGGGTGGAGGAGACGGGGTCGGGTGCATTGGCGTCCGTCCGGAGCGAAGATGAGGAGAATGCGCCGTAGCAATGCCAGAGTCAGATCGCCACACACCTGTTGTCATATGTGCACACACACATGCACACCACGCATACATGCACATCAGATTTGCACACGCACAGGCACACGTACACACACACACACAGACACACATGGTATATCAATAATTGCAAGTGTGATGCACGTGACGTATTCTATGGATATGAGCATGCGCTGTGATACTTGTGATGTGTGTGATGCACGTGGCGCATGTGGTTCATGTGGTGCATGTGATTCCATCCCACACATCCCTCTCACCTCTTTCCTCGCCTCCTGGTTGGCTATCAGGTCCTTAGGCAGCAGCACCACCTGCGCCATGGCCCTCACCCACAGCAGCAGCCACAGCAGCAGCCACAGCAGCAGCAGCCCCCCACCCACCCACCCACCCACCTCCCGTCTGGTGCAATTTCTGAGGCGCCTCAAACCACCCCGACCCCACTTCCCTTCAAACCCTCTTCCCCACCCCAACCTCATTCCTCACCTCTTTCCTGGTCAGCCAACAAGTCCTTAGGCAGCGGCAGCACCTGCGCCATCGCCCTCAGCTTTGGAAAGCATTCCCCCGGTCCCCCGTCACTGCCACTGCCGCTTCCGCTGCTGCCGCCGCACTGGGGGGGAAGCGAGGAGAGGCGGGATGAGCAGCAGAGGAAGAGGTGGAAGAGGAGGAAGAGGAGGAGAAGAAGGAGAGGGAGGAGGAGGGGGAGGGGTCCGAGGGGTCGAGGGCTCCAGCCCAGAAGGCAGTGGTGGTGGCGAGGAGGGATGAGGGGAAGGGCGGAGGGGTTGGGTGGGTGGGAGGATGCGAGGCGACAGTCGATCTGGGCATGCATGTGAGTTTTGAGACGTCTCAAAAGTCGTCTACTTACACATGGGTGGGAGGATGCGAGGCGACAGTCGATCTGGGCATGCATGTGAGCGTCGAGGTTGTGAAGCATGGTCGCCCATGCCGACGTCAGTGAAACATGGTCCCCCATGCTGACGTCTGTGACGAGGTGAGGGAAAGGGGGGAGGGGGAAAGGACGGGGGGGGCGGAGAGAAGGGGGTGGATGTAAGCCATTTAGGGGCGCGGCATGTTTGGCAGGGCAAGAATACAGAGCATGCGCAAAGACTGTTGCACTGCACGCATGTATTGAAGGTGCTGTGACTTCCATGCGCGGTTGTTCCACGTGTCCTGCAACGTTTGAGAACAAGTCAATGAGCACGGGCTGAGAGTCAGTCATCGTCAGTCACGTTCGATCAAGGCGGATCAGAATTGGTCAATGCAAGGGGAGGTGAGGGGAGGCGAGCAGAGGGGAGGGGAGGGGAGGGAGAGGAGAGAGGGAAGGGAAGGGAAGGGGAGGTACTGACGGCGTATTTGAGGTGCATGCCGTGCGAGTAGGTGAGCTTGCCCGTGGCTGTGAACGGCAGGGCGGCAGGCTCGGTGACAGGGTCTGCAAGAGGTTTGGCAGGCGGCGCGTTGAAGATTGCCGAGTCAAGGCGGAGCAGACAGTACTTTAAGACCTGGCGTGTGGGGATGGGATGGGGAATGGTATGGTGTGGGGAATGGTATGGTGTGGGGAATGGTATGGTGTGGGGAATGGTATGGTGTGGGGAATGGTATGGTGTGGGGAATGGTATGGTGTGGGGAATGGTATGGTGTGGGGAATGGTATGGTGTGGGGAATGGTATGGTGTGGGGAATGGTATGGTGTGGGGAATGGTATGGTATGGGGAATGGTATGGTGTGGGGAATGGTATGGTGTGGGGAATGGTATGGTGTGGGGAATGGTATGGTGTGGGGAATGGTATGGTGTGGGGAATGGTATGGTGTGGGGAATGGGGGACGGGATGGTGGATGGTACGGTATAGGGAATGGGGGAAGGGATGGTAGAATCGAGATTTGAGACATCTCAGAATGGAAGAGTGCTGAGTGAAAGCGAAGCAGACAGTGAATGAAAAAACAGCATACCGTCCCAGAGCAGCTCTGGGAAATAAGCCTGATAGAGCCGAGCAGCAATTTCTGTTTCTCCAGCAGGCAAAGGCGGCAGCTTTTTCAATCGACTGAAGGATACAGGCAACAACCCAAGGTACACCTTTCAGACAAAGGTTCACCTGGTTCTCCTGCAGATACAGGCAGCCACAGCATCGTGCAGCCCCATGGCACGCTGCGGACAGAGAATGAAGGACGCATCGTGCAGCACCGCTCTCCACCGCTCCACACCCACTAGCTTGCTCCACCATGGGGCCCTCTCAGCGTCTTTTAGAAAGAGGGGTGTAGGATGGGAGGAGATGGGTTGACGAGAGGAGACGAGGGTGGAAAGGAAAAATGGGGACGTGAGGTGAGACGGGGGATGGTAGTGGAAAGAAAGGGAGCGACGGGGAGGGATCTGAGTAGAAAAAAACCAGGAATATCACCGGTGCGGTGCGTACATGAGCGAATTCGCCTCTCTAGGGTGCACGCCCAGCACCCAGACACCACGGCATACGTGCAGCGCCCAGACACCACGGCATACGTGCAGCGCCCAGACACCACGGCATACGTGCACGCGGAGCATGAAGCTGAGCGCAGGGCATGCGAAACGCCAACCGAGGGACAGTAACCGCCAGAAGAAGCACAGCGTGAACGCCCCAGTGAGCCCTCCGGCAAGTCTGCCTGCTGAGCGGCAGAGAGCTTCCGGGCGAGAGAGTGGAAGGCGAGCACGCGGCCGGGTGCATCAGGACACATCACCAGTCACCGCTAGGTCCCTATGAGCATGCAGCGCGTGCCAAAACCAGACAGACACACGCATCAGCGATCATGCTGGGTGTGGAAGGCGAGCATGACGCTGGCGCCGTGAGGTGAACGCGCCGTTGATGCTCGCTAGGCCCGCAAATTCGTAGTGGGAGCTTTACGGAGAAGCAGGGAGCATCGCGCCGCGTCGTTTCTACGCGTGAACTAGGATCGACCGTTGACGAGTCCGAATTTAACGGATCGTTCCACGTTGGCCGCCATCAGCGATTTTTGAGACCCGTAGGCTTGCTGCGGTCGAAACTCTTCCTAGTCTTGAATCCATGTAACGAGGATTGCCAGTAACAAATGCGCGTAATCTGTACACTCGCGTGCGCCGCGTGGAGTCGACATGAGCACCGAGAAGGCGAGACAAATAGAGGCTTGACGAGTCGCCGAGGATATCGGAGTACCAAATATTGACTGAGTTACAAGATCTGCCCGACATGATCAGGATCGCAGAGACTGCGGCGCGTTGTGCAGAAAACCACTATAAAGTGCATAATTGCTATAAAATTTGATCACTATCACCTTCAGAGATACATATTAATGCTCCATACTGATATCAATATTCAAAATTGATCCAGTTGAGAGATCTCAGAAAAAAATATTCAACCAGAGGGTCCATGTTCACTGAACTTCTATTTACTGTTCTCCGTATCAAATATTTATGGATCTAACTGAGAACTAGATATTAATAAACTGCCATACTAGATAGTATACCAATGTACTACCCATGCACTGTAGGTGTGCATGGGGGGTTCCTCTTGGCCGCCAGGAGCAGAGCTCCTGACGTTACACCCAAGCACCGCGGTGAGGTGGGAACCATCGCTTGGGACCCTGTTGGATGGGGGGGAAAGAGAGAAAAAACACAAAGCATACTGCCCGGGGGGGGGGGGGCAGATGAAAATTATCCTCAAACCAGGTGCTGCCCGTCCTTGCTGCCCAGTCGTGCTGCCTGACCAGCTGTGTAATTTTGCTCACTGCAGCTAGGCTGCTGTGAGGAACAAGAGAAATGGGTTTTGAGGCTTTGCCCAAAACCCAGAGGTTGCTCACTGCAGCGACTCTGCAGTGAGGAGCACACGAGTTTTGAGACGTCTCTCAAAGGCGTTGTTCGGGAGAACCAGAGGAAGAGGAGTACATGATCCAGAGGATGAATAGTACTAGGCTCGGGGGCCCAAAAATCGCTTGCGACCCCCTTGCGACCACTTTCGTGACCTAACCTCGCGGTTTGGAAATATCAACCTCAACTTCTCCTCTGCAGCGGCTCGAGATACCGAGCCGCTGCCCCAACAGTGGGTTGACTGCACAGTAATCACAGGCAATTCTTTCCTCACTTTCTCCTCGCCATGCTCTAGCGAGGAGAAAGTGAGCCTCAGTCCTCAACGAAATTTGTTGGGCATCTCGGATTCCGCTTCAATATTACCCAGGGCATAATTTTACGACCGAAATTGTACCGGATCAAGAGATGACTAGTCGAGAGAGCCCGAACACAATTCCAGTTGTGTTGTTGTATTGAAACTGGTTTTTTTTTCGTGTTGCAAGGGGTGCTTCGGTCTCGAAAATACGTTTTGGGTGGACGAGGAAATGGGAAGGGGAGAGTTCCGATCAGATGGTAGATGCGATTTGGCATCTTGACCTCCGGCGTGCGGTGGTTGTCGTTTTTGCTCGAATTGGGGCGTTGACTATGCACACCCCTGTCATTTTCTCCAGCTGGCGAATCTGATTGTACAGCTGTCGACACTGTACAGTTTGTCAAGTGGTGTGATGTCGTTTTTCTTATTCAGGCTCGGTGCAGAGCAGCATCCTCTTCCTCTGTTTCGGCGCTCCCGAACACCGCCAAAGCTCAGGGACCAACGGAACAAACTGACGGAACGGAAACAGAACGACAAGCTGCAGTGCACTGCAGTGAACAGAACAGAACCGCCACCAGCAGTCCACAGCTGTCTTGAGGCGCCTCAAGAACAGCACACAAGGACCTCACAGCCACCCCTCACCCCTCATCCGTCCCTCAGCCCCCTACTCCCTTGTGAAAGCTGGCGCTGCTGGTGACAGCTGCTGCTCCCTCCTCCGCACTCCAACCCGCCTCCATCCGCCCTGCCATACAGGAATGCAAGAAGGGGGGTCTACGGAAAGAAAGATTAGTTGCTGGTGAAGATGCGAGCGAAAATAAAACGCAAAACACAAAACAGAAATTGAAACAAGCGACAAGGAAACAAAACGCATGTGAAAACAGAGCGGAAATGTTTCCCTCCCTGAAAGAAGGCGCTGCTGGTGCTGCTGCTCCCTCCTCCTCCGCACTCCAACCCGCCTCCCTCCTCCCTCACGTGTAGCTGCTGCTGTCGCACCTCCCGCTCTGCAGCCGCCCCCACCAGCTCTCCACTCCGCCATGCTGCGCCCTGCCATACGGGAATTCAAAAGGGGAAGTTAAGGAAAGAAAGAAGTTGCTGGCGAAGATGCGAGCAAAAACAATATGCAAAATACAAAATAGAAATTGAAACATGCGACAAGGAAATGAAAAGCATGCGAAAACAGAGCAGAAAGTGGTCCCCTCCCTGAGCCCCGTACTCCCTTCTGAAAGAAGCCTGCTGGTGCTGCTGCTCCCTCCTCCGCAATCCAACCCGCCTCCCTCCTCCCTCCCGTGTAGCTGCTGCTGCCGTGCCTCCCGCTCTGCGGAACAGGAATGCAAGAGGGGGGAGCTAAGGGAAGAAAGATAAGTGGCTGGTGAAGAGAATGCAAAAAACGAAACAGAAAGTGAAACATGCGACAAGGAAATGAAAAGCATGCGAAAACAGAGCGGAAATTGGTCCCCTCCCTGAGCCCCATACTCCCTTGTGAAAGCAGGTGCTGCTGGTGACAGCTGCTGCTCCCTCCTCCTTCGCACTCCAACCCGCCTCCCTCGTCCCTCCCATGTAGCTGCTGCTGCCGCGCCTCCCGCTCTGCGGAACAGGAATGCAAGAGAGAGGAGCTAAGGGAAGAAAGATAAGTGGCTGGTGAAGAGAATGCAAAAAACGAAACAGAAAGTGAAACATGCGACAAGGAAACGAAAAGCATGCGTAAACAAAGCAAAAAATGTTCCCCTCCCTGAGCCCCGTACTCCCTTGTGAAAGCAGGCGTTGCTGGTGACAGCTGCTGCTCCCTCCTCCTTCACACTCCAACCCGCCTCCCTCCTCCCTCCCGTGTAGCTGCTGCTGCCGCGCCTCCCGCTCTGCAGCCGCCCCCACCAGCTCTCCACTCCGCCATGCTGCTCTCTGCCATACGGGAATGCAAGAGGGGGAATCTAAAGAAAGAAAGATAAGTTGCTGGTGAAGATGCGAGCAAAAAGAAAATGCGAATAACATACGAGAAATCGAAACATGCGACAAGAAAAGAAAAGAAGTGGGTGGCGAGGGTGCAAGGGAAAACAGAATACAAAACGAAAACGAAACCAGCGACAAGGATAAAACAAGAATACAAGAAACAAAAAATTGTTCTCCTCGGCCCCACACCGCACTGCACTCCCTCGAACCCATACTCCCTTGTCATGGCAGGCTTTGCTGATGGCACCGCACTGCACTCCCTCGGACCCATACCCCCTTCTCATGGCAGGCGTTGCTGATGGCACCGCACTGCACTCCCTCGGACCCATACCCCCTTCTCATGGCAAGCGTTGCTGATGGCACCGCACTGCACTCCCTCGAACCCATACTCCCTTCACATGGCAGGCGTTGCCGATGGCACCACACTGCACTCCCTCGGTCCCATACTCCCTTCTCAAGGCAGGCGTTGCTGATGGCACCGCACTGCACTCCCTCGGACCCATACCCCCTTCTCATGGCAGGCGTTGCTGATGGCACCGCACTGCACTCCCTCGGACCCATACTCCCTTCTCATGGCAGGCGTTGCTGATGGCACCACACTGCACTCCCTCGGTCCCATACTCCCTTCTCAAGGCAGGCGTTGCTGATGGCACCGCACTGCACTCCCTCGGACCCATACCCCCTTCTCATGGCAGGCGTTGCTGATGGCACCGCACTGCACTCCCTCGGACCCATACCCCCTTCTCATGGCAAGCGTTGCTGATGGCACCGCACTGCACTCCCTCGAACCCATACTCCCTTCTCATGGCAGGCGTTGCTGATGGCACCGCACTGCACTCCCTCGGACCCATACTCCCTTCTCATGGCAGGCGTTGCTGATGGCACCGCACTGCACTCCCTCGGTCCCATACTCCCTTCTCATGGCAGGAGTTGCACTCACATGCAGAGGTCGTAGGAGTTGCACTCACATGCAGAGGTCGTAGGAGTTGCACTCACATGCAGAGGTCGTACGAGTTGCACTCACATGCAGAGGTCGTAGGAGTTGCACTCACATCCAGAGGTCGTAGGAGTTGCACTCACATGCAGAGGTCGTAGGAGTTGCACTCACATGCAGAGGTCGTAGGAGTTGCACTCACATGCAGAGGTCGTAGGAGTTGCACTCACATGCAGAGGTCGTAGGAGTTGCACTCACATGCAGAGGTCGTAGGAGTTGCACTCACATGCAGAGGTCGTAGGAGTTGCACTCACATGCAGGGGTCGTACGAGTTGCACTCACATGCAGAGGTCGTAGGAGTTGCACTCTCATGCAGAGGTCGTAGGAGTTGCACTCACATCCAGAGGCCGTAGGAGTTGCACTCACATGCAGAGGTCGTAGCAGTTGCACTCACTTGCAGAGGCCGTAGCAGTTGCACTCACATGCAGAGGTCGTAGGAGTTGCACTCACATCCAGAGGTCGTAGGAGTTGCACTCACATCCAGAGGTCGTAGGAGTTGCACTCACATGCAGAGGCCGTAGGAGTTGCACTCACATCCAGAGGCCGTAGGAGTTGCACTCACATCCAGAGGCCGTAGGAGTTGCACTCACATCCAGAGGCCGTAGGAGTTGCACTCACATCCAGAGGCCGTAGGAGTTGCACTCACATCCAGAGGCCGTAGGAGT